GCAAGATCTCAACACGGAATCACTTTATCACAAAGAAAGTATGCTCTAGAGTTGTTAGAAGATGCAGATCCGTTGGCTTGTCAACCTATTTCTACACTCATACAACCTGGAACCAAGTTTTCTAAGTCAGAAGGAAAACTTTATTCTGATATTCATGCTTATAGAAGATTGCTTGGAAGACTGCTTTATCTTACCAACACAAGACCAAATTTATGCTTTGTTGTTAGCACACTCAGTCAATTTCTCTCTAAGCCTATGGAAGACCATTATGCGACAACAATAAGAGTATTGAGGTACATCAAGAATAGTCCAGGACAAGGCCTTTTTTTCTTGCAGCCACAGATCATTCTCTCAAGGCATTTAGTGACTCAGATTGGGCAGCTTGTCCTGAAACCAGAAGTTTTTTCACTGATTTTAATGTCTTTTATGGATCATCATTGATCAGCTAGAAATCAAAGAAGCAGGGAACCATATCCAGATCATCTATTGAAGCTCAATATAGAGCCTTAGCATCCATAGCATGTGAAATCTAGTGGCTGCTCTATTTACTCCATGATTTGAAATAACCGCTGCAACAATCGGTTTCTCTATATTGTGACAATCGTTCTGCCATACAAATTGCTCAGAATCCAACTATGCATGAGAGGACCAAATATATTGAAATCGATTGTCACCTCATAAGAGATAAAGTCCAAGCTGGAGTCATCAAGCTTATGCCAATTCCCACTTTGACACAACTAGTAGATCTTCACACCAAGCCACTGCATCCAGCACAATTTCACTCTCTTTTGTCCAAGCTGAGCATTAAGAATATATATGTTGCAGCTTGAGGGGAATATTGGATGTAAATAGTTTAGTTTCAATTAGGTACGGGGTTAGTTTTGTACAGTTGTAAAGTTGTTACATAAACTTGTATATAAGATGTATTTTTTACAATAATAAAAAAATAATAATCATTGTATACTTCTAACAGTTTATATTCCTTTTTTTATAAAATTGAATTCAGACTTCTCTTTTATAAAATAAAATTATAAATGTAAAAAATTTTAAACAAATAAAAATAGTAAATATATATATAAGATAAAATAATTAAAAAATGAGTAGCACAGATATCAATAACCTTGACATTTAATTTAGATATGAGAAATTCACTCAACTTCCATTGATGTAAACTCTCTAAGTTCAATTCAATTGAATAGTTAATCCAAGAATTTCATTTAAGAAAGAATTAAATGTTCAATATAATCAAGATCTTAGAATCCTGATCCATAATCAATTTACAATGTCCAAATTAGATCCATCAACCCCTAACCAAAGCAAATTAGAACATGATTGTAAAAGAAAGAGAAAGAAAAAATAGAAGAGAAAGTGCAAAAAATCTCCATGAATCCAAGTCTCAAGCTTGATTCTTCTAGGATTAAGTCCTGAAATTTGTCCCTAGACCTCTCTCTTTCTCTCTCTCTCTCTCTCTCTCTCTAGCTCTCTAAAAGTGTAGAAAAGAAAAGATGAGAAAAGATCCCCAAAATTATGAGTTTAAGCCTATTTATAATTTTTCTGCGCTTTCAGCGTAGTCACTTTTTGCTCCAAAAGTAGCTGTGCAAAACAGGTATAACACTAAAGTGGACACTTTGTATGACAACAGTAGCTACACACAGGGAACTCTACACAACACAACTTATGGAGTGGCTACTTTTGGTCCTAAAAGTAGCTACGAGCAACACAATTCCTCAAATAAGCTTGCGCGTAGCCACTTATTGCCCAAAAAATGTCTATGCACATGGCATTTCTTCAATACAGCTTCCGTGGTTGCCACTTTTGCTCCCAAAAGTAACTACGTGCACAATCTTTCTCCCCAAAAAGTCTTCAAAGTGGTTACTTTTACCATGAAAAGTAGTTACACGCATCATGTTCTTGCTTCAAAACCTCTGTAGTGTCTACTCTTGACCCTAAAAGTGGCTATGCACACCAGGAATTTCCTTCCAAGCCTCTGAAGTGACTACTCTTAACACATAAAGTAGCGACACTTAGTACGCTTCACTCTTTAACTCTCTGGAGTGCTTACTTTTGCATTAAAAGTGGCTACGCTAGACCTTTTTGAACTCTTAAAGGTTCCAATTCATGTGCTTCTCATGGAATTCCATGCGAAACTAATTCAATCAATCAATATTTACATAAAAGTTCTATTTAATCTAAACAAATTAAATTACTAAACTAAAATTTGAATTGCTTGAACAACCATACATTTTTGTAAGGTTTTTAATTTTTCTAAGCTATATTATTCTATTAAAAAAAATCCTAGAAAACTAACTAAAAATCTATCAAAATATGGATTTATCAAGCTCCACTCATATTATGCATGATTAGTTGGGTGAGGGAACAAATAAACTGTAAAACCTCTTTGCTGCAAAAATAAACAAACAACAAATCAAATAAAATAGTACTCATCTACCCTAAGGTGTGACAACATACAACAAATACATTTGAATTATAAAAGATAACACAAATATATGCAAATTGAATAAGAAAACTGTATAAGAAAATGTACACAATCAAAATTAATCAAATAAACATGGAGTGGAATAAAATACAATTAAACAATATAAGAAAATGCATAATTATTCTGACATGGGTTTAACTATCGAGTTTTTCCAATTGAGTTACCTTTTGTCGCAATCAATGCCATGACAAGCAAATATGAATATGTTGAATCAAAAATTGAAAAAAACAAAACAAAAAAAGAAGAAGAAAGATTGAAGGAGTCCCCACCAAAATTTTTAAAAGAACTCTAGAAAACTTTAAAATTGGTCTGTTTAACCAAATTTGAGTTCTAGAGTCTAAATACATGTAAAATATTAGCATCCCATGATATTCGTAAAAATAGTTACCCTAAATTATGCAAGGATTAAAGTTTCATTTCTTTTCTAAATTTGATATTTTATTTGTTTTACAAAATAATAAAAAAAAATAAGTTTTAAAATAATTAGACTTAACAGGTTTTGGTCCTTGCTCTTATCCTAGTACAATGGAGAAATCAGAGATACATAGTTTTGAATGAAAATCCTCTTTTGAAAGGTATGGGAATAATAAATCTTATTGAAAGGTGTATGAAAATGAAAATAAACCCCTTAAAGGTGTTGAATGATTAAGAAAAAGATATATATTTAATTTTTAATTTTTTTTAAAATAAGGTGAAGAAAACTTTAATTTTGTGACTGTATAATTTGTACATAATAAAGTAATATAGACATTAGTATCTTTAATTGTACGTGAATTTAAATATATTTTTTTATACAAGAAAGGATAGGCAAATATTTAGTATTTTGAAGTAAAATTAAATTTTAGATAATTTGCATGTATAAAGTATTAGATAGTACTAGATAGTGCAACTAAATGTATACTCTTATGATCTTACAACGTACAAATGATAGATTAATTTATACATCATTGTTATAAACCAATGTATGAATTTTAAAAAGTGAAATTTAATTATTTATTTTATTTCAAAAAAATAAAACATTGAAGAATTTATAATTGAGATACTTATTTGAACTTTACTTTAAAAATAATCTTTTTTATTTATTTATTATAAAATTGAGAAAAATTATATGACTTTTCACATGCGAAAATAAAAGATATATCACTATTATAAATTACTGTGTGAAAAAAGAATTAAATTTTAAAATATTTTTTTAAAAAAATATCTCATTTCTTAAAAATAAAATGTGAAATAAGTCATATGCATGAAGTAATAAATGGTATAACTAAACTGATACTCCTACAAATTTATGCATTCCATTGTTACATTTACTTAACAACTGTTTTCTTAGTTAGTAACACAACAATCTTATTGGATCCATATGTCAATAGTTGCAACCAATCAATATCAAACATAGTATTCGTAGCTTCTATTATGTTGCATAGGATATTATTATGCTAAAGCAATTCAAAATCCTGATTTCATATTACTAAAATGCTCAATCATATGTTGTAAACAACAACTTGGTCATATTTGCTATGTATGACTTTGTTATGACAATGTAAGTTGCAGCTTCACTATATGATTCATAATTGTGAAAAGAATAAAGACAACCCTCAGTACTAAGTATTTAATACAACAGAATTTACAATAATATCAAATAACAGTATTAAATACAAGCAAAATCTTATATCTTCCTAACATACCTCTAAAAAAGAAATTTAAGTTTCCTTTTAATGAGTATCAAACAACACAAACATTTTTGAGAACCCCAATAAAAATTAGTATTATCGAATATTTTCAAATTCAAACATCAATGATTGAATATACAATAAGTGTTCAAGTAAATGCAGTATTCCTCTTTTTTATTATTATAATTAATTATGATGATGGTTTCCTTTTTTAGAATGTGAAATAGCACAAGGTATTTATCGTGTAATTCACTTTTATGGTAGATGAATTTATAGCCACAACTTCGAATTAGTCGTGAAAACTAAGCATATGATTTGATATCCATCTTGTCCCTAAGACCAAAAGTCATTTTTAGTTAATTGTCTGCTTTTGATTCATTTATTGATAAACAAGAAACTAATAACCTCAAATCAGATTTTACAACTCAATTGAATGGTATAATTCACAAAATTAGTTAAAAGTCTAATTCCTCTTGATTTTCACCTTATGTAGAAAATAATAACCTGAAATCAAATTTCACAACTTCAAACTTTATTTTTTAAAATATTCTTTTAATTTTTTATGCATAAACGCGTTCATCGGGTTACAAGCAAAAAATATTCGACACCCAACTCAACTAATTTGTGTTTATTATTTTAAAAATTAATTATATCCGATTACTCATAACAACCCGTTAATTTTAATTTGATTTAGTTAAGCAGTTATTATTTTGATTGTGAAATAGTAATCCAATAGAAGACAGAATATCTCCTTTCGAAGTCGTAGAAACCAATAGGAGTGAATAATACCGAAAACCGGCAATGCAGAAAGAACTATCAGCTACCAAAATCTGAATATAAACTTTCTCTTTTATATTTCAATTATCCAAGCAAAAATTTACAATATGTATATACAACATATAACAACTTTTTATCCTCTTTTCCTTGTGGGAAAGATTACATAAATGCTAATAAAGCAAATAATTGAATTAGGACGGTTTTGTATCTCAGCTACTCCAATCATTAAAAAAATGGAAACTGTGGAACATCCTATGACTATCAAACACTGTTAAGGGCTGGGTGGGACAAGCTGATCAGTTTCAAGCAACTTCTCAGCATCTTCATCTATGGAAATCTTGCCCCAACCAGAATTTCTCATGGACAAAATCCTTGCCCGCTCAAGCCCACTGCCTCTGAATCCAGTCATTCTTGATGACATCATTGGCATCACAAGAACTGACGATGCGCTAATGGTATCCTCCCCGAAACCGAGTGATAATGCACACGAAGTCTGCAAAAAAAATAGAAGCTTGGATTGTCATTTATTACAAGGCAATGCCCACAAGAGTGTTGGTTGATGCAACTAGTAATACCTTTGCCTTGACTAACATATCCGTAACCTTTATCAGCATTCCTTTGACAAATGATCTTGCGTCTTTGTGTTGTACTTCTGAAGACTCCACCAACCTATAACAGATAAAATACTATTAGCATCAGTCAAAGTTGCCAACAATAACAATTAAGTGTAATGATTGCGAACAAACTAGGGAAATATAAAAAACAAGGGAATGGATTGTCATATACAATTTTGTCAAAAAATTTCAAGGGACTTGAAGATTAAGCTGGAGTTACAAGAATATACTAGAAGTTTCTTAGCAGACTTTTTTATGTAAGATATCATTAAGTTGAAAAACACCGACAACATAAAAGCAAGATGATACAATTTACTAGTTCTTTAATCATTTAGCTGCTTTTCAGTGATGTCTCATAAATATGGTAAAAGATGTAGGTGCTACGACATCTCACTTTCAGTGAGCAGAGTTCATATTGTACCTGTTCACTTCTGTTGAAATGGCAGGAGACACCATGGATTCCAATTCTCTAGACTCTGCACCTGAAACTTTTCAGAAGAAAGTCGCATATTATCCTCTACATCCCTTGAATTATAATAAAACCATAAAACAATTAGAAATTTATAGTACCTTTGGGTTCATCGGGTGCCAGCAAAGAAATGCCAATGAACACACACATCATTCCAAGTATAAACATCGTTGTCCTTAATGCATCAAATACCTGCTTTCAGGAATATAAGTTTTACATGACAAATTCAAGTTTCAAAACACACGCAGCATTCGTCAAAGTAATGATACAAGCATTCACCATATGAAAATAAAATAACAAATACAAGTATGAGTTCCGAAACTTCAAAAACATTTCCTTCTAAAAGGTGCAGGAGCAAGATGAGTGTCTACTTAATATAGAAAGATATCAGATAAACTAACAGAGGCATATCTCACTATTTCGAGGAAACATTTACAGGTAAATAGTTTAAAATTCTTCACAACACTTAGGTTTTATACCAACTTAATTGAAAAATAAAAAAATAAAATAAAAACAATAAAGGCAGCTGGTTTCAACTGTATCATGTTGAGAAGATAACCAGAAATATTACAATCATGGTTGATTTTAAGGGAAAAGTAGGTGAAGCAAACTAAGAAAATAATTCAAACCAAATACACATTGAATCTCAAAATAAAAGAGAGAGAAAATTACATTCATCAGGCACAACTCATCAACAATATCTTTAATCACCTTACGATGTAAAGGATACCAATAAACCCCTGTATATGAAAAAAGAGACCTTTTCTAGATCTCCTTCAGTTAGACAACTGGCCTATTTTGAATTTTGGAATATACATTTTTGTGGTCATCCTAGGTAGTTCAGTTTCTATCTATTTTGTGATGCTCTGCTCTATCTATTTGAACTTCTTGTAATTTGTTTATATTAAACATTTTCAATTTATTGGGGACAAATCGTCTTTGTCATTCCTGAATTTAAAGTGACTGTTTGCTCTATAAATGGTCTATAAATTCCTACACGTTGGACCAGTTGTGCTGCCAAAATCTTACAGTAGATTATGATTACAAATTCAGAGAAGTGCCGGACAGCTTCCTCTGGAGATGCAACTTTTTATGTCTCTAGACAGCTGCAAAGACATTGTTTTGCAAATTACAGCAGAAAAGCTAGTGGAAAGAAAGAAATCAATTTCTTTCCTGCTGAAGGAGACACTCATTTGTAGATGATGATTTTATCCAGCACACAGTCCTACCAATACTTTTCAAGTGAGGAATGGAGAATACACATTTGTTTGACAGCTGAGTTACTTGTTTCCTTTCCATTTTCTTGTGTATTATGTATATCTCTGGCTAACTATATGCTATTACAATTTTTACACATCTACCGTTTTTACTTATTAAAATGATATAAACAGATTTTAAAGACAATACAATTCTTCTTGGGCATTGTTGTGGAGAACCTAGAGGACAAGAAGATGCCAAAGAATAGAAATGCATACGAGTCAAAAGAGAAACTAATTATTACAAGTGTAAATGGGTCAAGATTGCTTCTGAATGCAAGTTCATATTGACTTTTACTGCCACAACTTAAAGATCATCGAGGAGAAATCAAAATCACAAACATGAGCAGCAGTGTGGCACAGACAAATTAATTCTTTTTATTCTAGCAGATATTGTTGGAATTTGCTACAATAGTCCGTACTAGTTTTGGACCATCGATGGTCTGTATTTTTTGAGTAGTTCCAGTGGTTTTTTCAGTTACATTTAAAATTGGATATTTGCAATTAAATCCATAGATAAAAACCAAAGCACCCAGAAAAACAACCCTTTTGTCCTTTGATCTGTCTGTTACTCTGCTCAGACACTCCTAATACTTGAGCTGGAAATGCTTGGCTGGAAAAGGCTTATAGCTGGACTTTTTTAAGGATGGAGGAGTGGATTTGGTCAGAAAAGAGTACTGGGAGGTGGTTTTGACAAGGGCATGCCGTCTTTGTTTTTGTCTGCTGCAGGTGGTGTGTGGGTGGATTTTGATTATGCACTGGAGGATATGGTTGACTATGGAAACCTGCTCTTCCCTCCAGCAGCAAGCTGCTCATCATAAATCATAACCCCAGGTTTAATGTCACACCTCCAACAAGCTACCACGGGAACCAGCTTCTCACCATTGGATCTGGCCCCACCCTTTATGCTGCTCAACCCTCTTTCACCCCAAAACAACCATTGCACAGAGACACAAAAACTGCGAGCTAATCTCATCTAAGCCAGCATTGAAATCTCACCTCACTACCATGCTCCTTGCCAGAACCTCAGTCCCCGGGCACCAATGAATCACTACCGCCATTGTTTGGTTGCCCCTTTTGAACCCTACATGCAACAACTGGACACAGCATCCTTCATCCTTTTTATTTTTTATTCTTTCATTTCATCTTAATATTTGCTTCTCTTCTTTTAATCATCTGATATAAGTTTTATTTGTTTAATCTATTGATGAGAGTCTGCATTTCATTTGGGCTCCACAGGCACCATTTCAGTTTTTCCCTATCTTAAAAAACAACATTAAAAGGGTAAGTTGAACCCAACAACCAGCTCAGCTTACCCATTTCAATCTAAACCATGTATTATTTAATTAATAAATAAACCAACAATAATGCTTGACCACTGATGGTCCAGACCATTGAAGTCAACTCCAATACTGTTTCAGCAATACAAATATCTGCCAATCCAGATATTGAATGGCTTCTTCACAATTAAGTTGGATAATTTCTTTGATTCATAGGAGGAGGAGAAATCAGTTCCTTCATCTATGACTCTGGCTTCAGGCTGTGACTGCTTTTAGTTTAGTTTGTGCTTTATAGTCTATTTGAAACATCTGACCGTAAGAAATGACGAATTGATATTATTGAAATTTATATTGTTCTGAGAATTGCTTAGCAGTCAGTAAAGATTTCACACTTTGACTTTTGTAAGTTATGTTTGTACCAAAAAATGTTTGTCTTCAGTACAGAAAATTTGAGATATACTTTTCTACCAAGCAATGCAAATAAAAAGAAGGATGTTCTTAATGTGTGTAACACTCAGTTTTATACAATCTGTATAATAGACTATCTCTAAGTCATAATTTGTATATCTCGCATCTTATACACGTCCCACATAATTGTTTACAAGATTTTACAACGGGTATCATCTGTTGCTAGATATAGTTCATCATCATCCCCATTTTTGCTGTTTCCTTTAACATGTTTAGGTTTGCTTACATTTTCTGCAGTACGGAGTTCACATTGTTCCATTGCATGAAAACCATGACATTGACCCATGGCTCAATCAAAGCTCAAGTGATAAAAACAAAATATTAATATTTTTATAAATAGAAAAAAAGAGAGAGTCTGCTATCTGAATGGTATTTTTTCAGTAGCCTAAGGCCTTACAGAAGAACTGGTTTATAAATATCCCAAAAGAATGAACCTAGCAAGCAGTTATGTTATGAAATGCCATTTCTTGAAAACTTTGGGGAATATACATAGAGAAGCAAGATTAAGTCAACAATTGAAGTTTTGAGTTATATTCTCTAGGCTAGGTGTGGTTTTGTATGTTGAACCCATAGTGTTTCTAAATGATATAATGAACTGAAATATATACTCAAGTGACTCCATTTCATCAAAGCAGAAGTTGATTAAAACATCTTTGAGTTTTCCAAGGCAAAGGTTACCTGTGTTATAATAAGGGGCAGAGAACGTACCTGATATTCCTGGAAATATATAAATCCCGTACAGATTGAGAAGAAAGTCCATGCTATCTGAAACATGGGAACAATGAGAATGGCATCAAACAAAGACAGTCCTTCATTCAACCTGGTCATCTGCACAATTGGGAAAAGATTGGGTTAGCATTCATGTTTGTCATAAGTTAATTACAAAAAGGAATCTGATAAAAGCATCAGCATACGGTGATGAAGGCCCATGAAAAATCTTTACCCAAAAGTAAGCCTTACCCAAAATCCAGCAGTACTAAGAAATAATAGAAGCATGGAATATGTAAACCAGCTGTGCAACTGATAACCATTGGACATTGCCAGTCGTAAGAGGTTAGAACTGCCAAAAGAAGTTGACAAAAGGCGTAAGTATAAAGGCTATTGTGTCATGATGCAGGATAGCATGTTGGAGTAGCTGACTTACAGCGATTTGGCAAACAACACCGAGCATGAACCTACAGCCCCAGAAACTACAGCATATGAAAAGGGCAGTAGCATGCTCCAATAGGGTCTGAGGTCATGTCCAGATACTGCAAGCAGAAGTTCTCCTCTCCTGAATAATCCACATGTTAATCATAAAGAAGAAATATTCTTTGATTAAACTAGCAAAAAATAATTAAATCCTACTAATTACTTGTAAATGGAGTGGTGCAAAGCAACAATTGAGATCAAAGCTAGAAGGTATAGAAGGAATGCAATATTGGTATATTTCTCTGTCAACTGCTCTGGTGTATAAACTGAAACACAAGTAGTCAACCACAAATTAGTTTGCCGTGAAAACAATAATGGCTTTATCATATGATTGTATTGTTAAGCAGAAATGAATCTTAACATTCAGTAAGCATAAAGAACATATTAAATGAGAAATCATATCAAGTTCATAGCAGAATCAATGTAAGTGCTTCTTCCTATATGTTACATTATAAAAGTGTAGGATATTCTTTTAAGTTTGCAATTTGCTAACTTAGCATCATTTTAGTTTTTCAATTACAGATAATATTTGATAGTATCTGATACACAATCTCACTATCAAGCTACTTAACAATGTTTTCACAAGGTAACCTTGAAGAAAAGAATTAACTGAACTAGGAAAAATTTACATACCAGGTGATTGGTGATTGCCAAAAGCAACTAGAAAAATGTTTCCAAGAACAATGAAAGCTGTGGCAACCAGTACCCTGTTAAATGGCCAACAATTAAGCCACAAGAATTCACATCATTAGAACAACACTGGTGAAAAATAAAACAAAATATCAGAGTTATCTTAATTCAAAGTAGGCATACTTGACCGTCACCATTTTGTTCAAGACAAAGTAAGCAAAGGCAATGTTAGATACAAACTGAACAGATCCCAGGGCTGCAAGAAGTGACTGCACAGCACACATGAGAATAAGATATTAGAATTTAAAAGCAAACAAAATACATCCATCAAATCAAAAGAAATATGCCATCCAACTAAAATAGAAACAAAACTCCAGCATACATAAAATTGCATCATGTTTAGGACAAAGCATCCCAATAATATCATGGAAAACATACCTGAGCAGCATATCCAAAGGAAATGAAATTAAGGCAATTTCCAAGAAAGAAAAATACAATACCTGCGTATCAAGAATTATGCAACAAAAACAAAAGTCAGGAACCAGCCACCAAGGTAAAATGTGCAATCTCATACCCATAAATGCAATTAAACTATACCAATTCTCCAACTCTGGAAGTATATAATAGGTTTCAGACTCATCTTTCCATTTACCCCATCACTTCCAAGTAAGTGTCTTTCTCTCTACAAAAAATACAGCCCAGCCTATTCATGTTTCCCAAATAATTGGATATGTCAAATTGCACTATTCAAGAAATAATGAGTTCCATGATCATTGCCACATTACAAAAAGCAGAAACATATATAAAATAGTACATCACAAAAAGTTACAACTTACAACTCGAACAAAATTTATGACATACCTCATTATGCCCTAATTTAAGAAGATTGGTCCCAAAATTTATTGCAATACTACCAAAGAGGTTGATGAAAGCTCCAACAATCCACTCCCCCATGAATAAAAAGATGTGGCACCGTGAAGGAGACACCACATGCAGCAGAGAAAAATTTATATGGACTCTTTCTAACCGATGTTAGTTCTCAAGTTCTGCACACAAGGCAAAACAGAGGTAGAAAGGAAGATAGCCTTTCTTGTACCAAGTGAACGAGTAACGAACAACACCACTCCTGTGTCACGAGCATACGTAAATCAAACCATTAAATTAAAATTCACACCTCATTTAATGTTGTTAAGCACTAAATTGGAGGGAGATCTATGTGTAAAAATTAATGAAGCTGATAAAAAGTGTGGGGGGGAAATAAAAGGTAGCAAGAAGTATCTAAATTCCATATAAAAACACAAACTATTTTCCCAATTGGTTCAACCCATGAAAAGTGAGACTAATTTTTGCACTGAAACTCGTTTTTTTTTTTTTAAGGGGAGGGCACAAATTTGATCAATTGGGGGCAAAATCAACACAATGCTGCACTTTTGATCTTCTGACCTTTCAACATTTTATCAAGACACAACAAACAACAATCAAAACAAAGGGTAAAAGAAAAAAGGAAAAATAAAATCTAAAAACAGCTCCCAACGAAACACGCTTCCTTGAAGAACCCAGATCTGCTATGTTAACATGAAAATTGCAACCACAAGACCGATCCAAACTAAACCATTACAAAAGATAAATAAAAATAGGGAATGATAACCCAAAATGCGTCAATTAGGCATCGTAAAAGCTTGAAAAAGGAACTTGATTACCTACGAGACAATCAATTCTCTCTTCTATTGTGCCTCAAATCGAAACAGAAAATTGAAATTGCGAGGTTGGATGCTTGGGTTGAACAGGAATAAAGAGAGAAAGATAGATTCAGAGGGAAGGAAAATAATAAGGGTTTAAAATTAAAAAAATATAAAAAAACAAAATTGTGGATAAAAACAAAAAACGGTGTATGAATAATGTAAGAAAATAAAATAAGAAGGGGAATAAGACTTTTCTTGGTCCAAAATGAACGGAAGAATTTTTATAATATAATCTAGAAGCAAAAAATGATACAGAAAAGTCACAATTGAATAGAAAAGAGGAGAGAGAAATTTATGAAAAAAGAAAAAGAGAAAAGGAAAAGAAAGAGCGAGGAAGTTGTCGGGTCATAGTCACTAAAGAGAAACAGCGTGAGACCTGAGCGACCGCTATTACCGCCGTCTTCTAATTTAGGTAAAATTGAAAGGATTAAAGATTCCCTCTGAGTTGGAATTAACTTGTTTGAAAGATAATTCTTATATTCTTTTACTAAAAATATTGAGGATAAAAGCTTCTTTTTTCCTAAATTATTTAGTTACACTTTCTATCCTCTTAAATTAAATTAATCCATTATACCCTAATTTAATTTATTTTAATTTTTCATAAATTTAATATCAAATATTTTAACATATATAATATAGTAAATTTTATTATTAATGAATTAAATTGTATAATATTTTATAAAATAACTATATAAAATTTTTTACTATTCGTAAGACTACATAGATTAAAAATGTATGTTGATGATTAATTTTAACGATACAAAACGTTTATTAAAAAATATGTAAAATAAAAATTACCGATCTATCAAACTTTAATATTCAAATAAACTATATTTTACTAAAATTGAATTTACAGTTAAAGATGAATAATGAAGAATTTATGACATACTTTACATACTAAAAAATAATAATAAAATATGTTATAAAGTAATTATAAATCAACAATAACAATTAAATATTATTTTATTAAGTAAGATCAACTATATAGATAATAATATTATTAAGTTTAACTGAAAAATTAATTTTTCTAGTATAATATTTACTATTAGATATATTTTAGTATTTTTTTTAAAAAATTAAATCTTTATCTACCTCTTTTTATCAAATAAAATGTCATGTCACTCATTGTCTTCAATAATCATTGTCTTTAGTAACTTTTGAATATATTCAAATTGTCTTCATTGATTTTTATTTTTTTTTTCATCTTTTCTATTTTATATATATATATTAATATTTTCATCATACAATTATTTTTTATTAAATTCTTTCTTATATGATCATTCATTCATTTTATCGTTTTTATTTTTGTCAATGTCATTTTCTTTTTCATATTGTTCTTTTAAAGTTTAATATTTATTACTAAAGTTTTGAATTAAAAAATAAAAAGAAATTTGAATCTATTCTCAAATTTGATTTCTTTTAATTTTTAAAAATTGATGTTTTTTAAATAATTAATTTTTGAAAACTTAGTTGTATCAACAAAGATAAAGAAGAAAGACACCAAATAATTTATAATAATTCACCTAAAACATAACAACTGCATCCGATCCTTGATTTAGTGTCAAGATTTTTAACTATTCCTAACAAAAACCCAAGAAAGTATTTTAATGCAAACTTCTTTAAACTCAAATATACTTAAGTATTATGATATCTCTCTATAAGTGATAACATCTCAAGCATTTTTCTATACTTTTTCATGTTTTTTTAGTATTCAAAGAAATTGAGTATAATATAATTATAAGAAAATTTTTAAATGTTTTTATTTAAGATTTTTTATTAATTATTTTCTTGCCTCTTCTACATGAATGTGTGTTGATTATATAGACCCTTGGTAACATGATTATATTAAACGTAATGATCTATTAGTTAGATTTAACAAACTTCTATTTTGAAAAGAAAATTTGTAGATGCTTTGTTTAGATATAAAAAAAATACTTTTAATTCTTAGTCATCTTGTCTTTTATTATTTTCTTCTAATGAATGTAATTTTGTTCATCATGATAGTTTTGTTTCTAAAGTTAACTTCCTAAACTAGTAATTTTGTACATGTAACTTTTTTTTAAAATGGTTTGTTCTTTCATTAGTTTGAATTAATAATCTTATAAATAATACTAAAATATTTGACCAATTCATTAGATAAAATAATATTTTATATAAAAGAAAACTTTTCAAATGTCAAAATTCAAACATACCCTTTTAGTCTTTACTAACAATCTTTCCCTTTTTATGATGATGAACTTTTTACACATTATTAGGAATATTGAGGAAAGTATAGTAAAATTACTAAATAGAATTATGACATATTATAAGACATAAAAATACATCAAAGTCACATTGTAGCATATACAAATATTACATATAATGTATAATAAAAAAAATCCTTTTGAAACCATAAAAAAAATTTGTCATTATTGTTACCCTAAGACCATAGATTTCAATTTGAAGTGACTATTTATAAGATTTATTATATCAATTTTTTAAAATTAAGTAAGTTATTTTGACAACTTAACTTGAGATTTAAAGATCGATGCTAAGAAATAGTTGGAGGTTTGGCGGTAATAAAAATATATAGAAGAGGTATAAATTTATGAACATGATGATATTTAGTAGATGTATTTAGAAGAAAAAGAAATAATTGAAAAAGAAAAAGAGAGATGGATTTGAATTTTTCTTGAGAAGCTGGTAAGGTAGAAACACTTGGTCAACTTGAAAATATGACAAGAATGAAAGGAGTAGTAAAGGAAAGGGATGGAGTAAGATGTACAAAAAGATAACACAATTTTGATAAATTATTTATATTCAACTAAGTCTAGAAGAGAATGTTTGAGCAATCAACTTGTGTGGAACTTGTCTTTGACTGGAGCTTGCTTCATTGGACATAATAACTTGGACTTAATGAAAAGAAAGTAAAGAGAAAGAAGAGCTTCGCATTGGACATTTTTTTCTTTATAATTGGTTATTGGAGAAAGATGAGGGAGTAGACAATTTAGTGCAATAAGGATGAGGGTAGAGGGGCAAATGATGCATATACTTAGTGATTATTCAAGAGCATGATCAATCTTTAAAGATATTTTACAAGTTTTTTTTCCTTAAAAGGTTGTGTCATTCATCTTTTACATTAATCATCTAGAGGCATTCCAAAGCTTCTTTTGCATCAACATTTAAAATAAATTTTGGCTCAATGATGCATATTTTACCATCAAAAGTTAATGATTGGCCTTGAAATGTTATAGGTTTACTTAGTTATGTAGGAGCAATTAATGAGTCCATTTTTTGAGCTTCTTTTGACAAAATTTGACAGAAAAACTTCAGCTAAGTCCTAAGAGTGGTCAAAAGCAGTGGAGCACTTGTATGCTTAGGTTTCTCTCCTATAAGTTTAGCCAAGACATGCATTATGTTCATTAATAATTGAATTATTTTTCTTAATCCTTATTTTTATTTAAAGTAGTATTTTTTCAGTTCAAATAATTAAATTATAAAATTCTTAGTAATTGGAATCAATCTTTGTGAGACGATAATTCGAGAACTTATTTAGAACCCTATATTACTTTTTGACAAATACACTTGCCACCAAACACTAAACATACTCACATATCTATTCAAAATTTTCTCTCTCACATAGGAAACACACAACTCACATTCATACACACGAGTATATTGCATTTCGTACTTTTCAATTCTTTTCACTCACCTGCATAAATTCTCATACTTACCATTCACTTGCACCACCTCGTACACATCACAAATTCTCCCACCAACATTCAGAAATAGAATGTCAACACACACATTGTAATATGAGTCAAATTAAAACTTAGAAAAAAGGTGAAGAGTTAATTATGCATAAAAGTCATAAAGAAAAGCAAACTAGAAAGAGATGACTTCCCAGTCTTCAAACACGGTCGCTCGAAGCTCTAAGTCCCATAAAAAAATATGCCAAAGGATGTCGTGTAAAAGAGATGAGATGACAAGTGTATCCAAAGCCAGAAACAAGGTGTAAAATTGGGTGTCTGAGGTCTCTCTTTAATAAGGTTTAAAAATCTTAAAAGCTCTTCATAATTGGGTTTCTTGTCGATGAGCACAACAGTGCAATGCCATAGTACGACTGTGCATGGGTTCAAAATACTCTCATGCTTGCTTCTAAAGGATTGGGCATGTTGACTACTGTGAAACTTTGATTTCCAACCAATTTGGGCTCAAAATGTCCAAAAATTCAATTGTGGGCTTCTTATGCTAAATTGCATAAAATATATATGAATTAATGCAAAACCCGAATAAAATACAGGTCAAACAATATATGAGCTATAAAAACGAGCCTAAATACAGACTTATCGACTCCCTCATACTTATCTTTTTGCTTATTCTCAAGCAAAGTGCTGGCTAAGATAACAATAGAATAACTTGAAATATATCACCACAACAAAGAACCTGAGATAAATGAGATAAAAAGACCACAGAGAGTAATATCATTGAGCATAAATAATTAGAAGATTTCCCAATTAGAATCTTATATTTCCTAACTTTTCACTCAAATATCAAACTCGGGTACTCAACTTTCCACTTTCTCTCGAAGTGTCTAGGGACAACAAAAGATATCACTCAATTACTCCAAAGAAAAGTGTACTACCATATGCTTGACCATCAAGTTAAAACAATTTTTAAAACAATTTTTTCTCCTTCCTTTAATATCAATTAATATTTATAATATATAAATAAAAAAAGGGTAAAACATATATATATATATATATATATAGTAAAATTTTTGTTTTGGGATTAGCTAAATATTTTCAAAATTATAATAAATTTACACAATCAATTTAAAGTAACCATTATTTAAATGGACACTACAGGGTGTTAATATCTTCCCTACACGTAAGTGACTCTTGAACTCATTTTTTATTCCAAAGATCATAATATTTTAAAAGTTTTCACAATATTTTTTTTAATAAACTTTGATTGTGACTCCTTTGGTTTTTGGAAAACATTTTATTCCTAAAAAATATTTTTCTTAACACATTTCGTCGTCTCATTGCGGCCTATAAGACAACAGATAACGACTCCACTATAGATTTATTTTAGAGAGTTAA